CGAAGATGCCAGAACAATTCCCCGTCACTCAGCTCAGTCAACAGATAATTCCGTGCAGTACGTGTTCTCATGTTTTCTCTGTCACTCCTACGAACTATCGCAATGCCCGAAACATAGCACAACAACCCAGGAAAAACAACTTCTCTTAGCCAGCAAAGCGACTTGTTGTAGTTGGTGATGATGCCGTACATCTCAGCCTCAGCATGACACGGCATTTGAAGGCCCGTTCCCGATAACAGCTCTGTCAAGGGCCTACAGGCAAGCTCACAAATGGCGACCATGCAGCATCTCTGAGCAGTTCTAGAGCGTTTCATTTTACACAGCGTCTTTTGTTGCAGATGCATATTGCACCCGCGCACAAAAAGCACTGAACTGATACCTTGCTGTCTCATCCAACAACCTAACGGCTGCGGTTGCCGCTACCTTGCCCTCCGCTTGGCAATAATTATGGCGAGGTCACCTTCAGTTCATGTGGGAGTTTCAGATACTGGGGACACGACATAGCTAACCAATGCTGATCCTGACGGGAACGCCGCACCAAGAACCCAACAGCTAGATGTCGTCCCTTGAATTCAATAGCTATAAAGCGACTAGTAGACTATAAACCCTAAACCCTAAACCGCTAGTGAGGGCAGCAATAGTTGCACTGAGCGATAACGGAAGCAACCGTAGGAATCGGGCCACCTAATCTCAGGAGTGGATCAACAAACTTACCTTTGGTTAGCAGGGAATGGAGGAATGGGGTACCGTTATAATTACGGTTACTACCATTCTTCCATTCCCTACTAGCCAAAGGTAAGCAAAATGCCACCCGGGAAATCTTGCCAGAATTGGAGGCCAGCCGAACTTGGGATAAGTATGTGTCTGATTCTTAAAACTTGGAACCCCAATGCGAGAGTCCCAGACCTCATCGAAGAGCAGGTTCGATCCAGCCGCCCAATCCCTGAACTGCCTGAGGCCTGAACCCCAAAAGCCTAAACCATAAGCCGTAGATGTCTAGAATCTAAGCCCTAAAATCCTAAAGTCCTAAACCCTGTCCCTAAACCCCATCACGGACCCTCGAAATCTGCCAGGAGAAGCCTAAGTCCGCTGCGAGCTGGGCTTTGAGGATCACCTGTTTCGGTTTATATTGCTTGGGTTTAGGGATGTTTCGGTTTAGGGTTTAGGGTATAGTGTTTTACATAGGGCTTTTGGGGTTAGACAGGATTCTCTGTGTGGTATGGATTTTGGTGTTTGGGGGTAGAGTGTGGAGTGTAAGGATCAACCTTCGGGCTTGGGATTCAGGGCTCAGAGAAAGGAACTATGTGCCCCCATGTCCACTCGCATGTTGCTGTAGGCCCTTTGTGGATAGCTGCTGCCATGAGCTCCTCCAAGTGCCGCTTCGATTTCTGCTGATTGCAGATTAGTTTCGTGGGTCTCGAGTTGCAGACTAGGAGAATCCGGGGCTGCAGGTTGGGGTGGGGGTTTGTTTACGGGTCCGAACCACACATCGTCAAACCACAACGAATGACACAGGCGGATACCGAAACAGTTTTGGCATAGAATGCCCAGCACATGTGTTCAACCAATGCATGTGCTTTACATATGGGTACATGGACACACGCGGCCGGAGAGAAGGGACCATCCGCAACCTGAAATCCACCAAAGACCCAAATCTCGAATGCGAAGCCTTAGACCTTCGCACGGTTGGACTAGGGTTTTGGGTTTCTAAAGCCCAATCAAACTAAACCCTATCTGGGGATACTGGCGGCTTCTATTCAGTGTCCTCTTCGTGAAATCCGGATTTCACTGTAAAGCGGTCGTATTCCGATTTGGAAATTGTTTTTGATGCAGCGAAAGCGGCCAGATTTTTGATCCATCAATCGAAAATTAGTTTTCTCGACCGAAACGCAAACCGTATGGAACCCGAAACATGCCGACAAAATGTCGACATTTACCCGTAAAAGGCCGTAAATTGATCCGAACAACAAAGGCGTAATGCGCCACTTTCTTGCTTCTGTCCCGAGGAAATGAAAACATTATCATCCACCGGAACGGCCACTTTTTTTTTTTGCGAGGCTACTTTGCTCTGTCCTCTTGAAGCGGCTGGTTTTTTTCTGCCCCCCCGTATCCCCATATAACGATACCCTAAACCCCTAAACCCTAAACCCTGAGCCCTAAACCCCTAAACCCTAAACCCTAAACCCCTAAACCCTAAACCCTAAACCCCTAAACCCTAAACCCTAAACCCTAAACCCTAAACCCTAAACCCTAAACCCTAAAGCCCTAAAGCCCAAACGCTAAATCCAAAGCCCCCTGCCTCGATCCGCGCCGGGTCGTAGTAGCCTTCCGACGTGAGGGCATTGCGCTCGGTTTGCGGAGCCTCGGCCCCAGGGCTTAAATTTAGGGTTTTTGGGGGATTGGGGGTTTAGGGTTCGATTTTTTTTTTTTTTTTGTGAGCCCTCTTTTCCTTCTGCCCGGTTGGTTAGTAGGGTTCGAGTTTAGGGGTTAGGGTTGAAATTTAGGGTTCCAACCATTGCGCTCGGTCTGCGGAGCCTCGGGCCGTGAACGAAGCCACTGGTCCGGGTTGTAGGATTCCCGGGTATATACTCTGGGTTGTGCTTTAAACCCTTTGAAAATTATCTATGAATAGGTTCCCTTTATATGGAAGCTAGGGAAATTAAACATTATCCCAAAGCACAAAGCAGTTACTTTGACCCTGAAGTATATAAGAATATAGTATGAACAGTGTAGGTACACGGTTGCATGGACGCTCCCTCCCGGTACCTTCGACGTGAGAAATCACCTCAAAGTATTACCATATAAGCTGGATGTTCAAGTTCTGCTGCACCTTGATTGATGAAGGCAGGTTCATGTCGGGCTTCAGCATGTGCAGGTCTCAGATGGCGTCTTTTGTACTTCGTGTTTCATGATGATCAGCTGGGAATGTAACTAATATAGAAACCTCAAAGCAGCAGGAAAGGATGCTGACGGAAATAAACAACACAACTTGGGTACGGCCCCCATACAGTAACGGTCTATAATAGGGCTACTATTAAGGTCCCTATATCTCTATATTGTGAATATTATCCAACTGTTACTGCGGGGGGGCAGTACCCAAAACACAACTGTGTTGCGATGTTAAAGCAATAAGCTGCACAAGCAAGCATTGAGCTCCAATGAGACCCGTTTACAAAAGACTTTGCTGCAATGACCGCGCCACGGAATAGAGCAGAGCCTCGTGACAGCCAAGGAAATCTGCAGCAAAGGATTTTTGGTAACGAGCCTTCTGTGCTGGTTCGATCATGTGGTCATGGTTCCTGCTGTCGTTAGTCGCGAAGGTAGCCCTAAAGAAAGCAGCTGTTTGAGTCTGAGAGCGTTGAGTGTTGAGTCTATCACTCAAAAATCTACCAGTCCCTAAAACCTAAACCCACAATCCCCGGCCAATCGGTAAAATCTGAAAACCCTAAACCCTATAAGAGCTCTGAACCCTTAGCCCTCCGCCCTTGGAACTTTGCGAGATTCAGAGCGACTTCAGACACGCCTGAGGCCCGGACCATCTTTCCCATGAAATTTCGAGCAGCAGATAGCAGATTCAACAGAGGCAGCTAGCTAACGAACCGTCGACTTTCGCAAACGAGCGTGCGGCTGCAGCCAACATACACCCCCTCTGCCAGCTTGGTTGTAGTCTGAATAAACGAACCCCGCGAATGTGCAGACAGCTACGAATCTACGCTACCTTGCTCAACTCGAACCGAGAGGAACTGCAAAGCAGATGCGACTTATGCAGAAAGACATTAGCATGATGTGAGGGCGGAGTAAACAAGTGCCGTGGCACCCCGTGACGTGCTGCTAGAGACGATACCGCATGGTATGCGATGACGACTAGAAGCATACCCTAAGGGTCCAAGTACCCAAATAGTAGGGTTTCAAGGTCCAAGAACCATTCAGAGTATGGATTTGGGAACCTAAAACCATGCTATTTCGGTACTTGGGCCCTCTGGGATACCTGTTATACAGTTATACACGGAACCATGCCACGGGCTCATGCTGTCACGTTGTTCCAAAATAGCTCTTCAGTAGCACTAAGTACGAGCAAATATGTACGGCCTGCACGGGTATGTATGCACACAGGCATGGAGAGTAGTTACCTTACTACTCTACAACAACTCTGCTATGATCTTGCTGTTGCTGTTTCATTGCGTATGTGTATTTTCCATATTTTCGTATACATACACGCACGAAGTTCTCACCTATCAGCAAGTCTGTCTGAGCTGCCAGTCCACGTATCGATCGGCCCACCATCTGCAAAGCTTTTCTTTGGATGCTTCTCCACACCTACGAAAGGTCGCCTATCTAAGTTGTACTGTTGTGCCTATCCACCTGCCAAGTAGGACGCCCAAAAGTATGAAAACCTCTGTAACAACCCATTCTGTTTGTAGCTGTTTTGCTTACTGTGTGTGGTGAGGACGCGTGCGCAAAGGCAACAGAGTCTATCCGCCATGAATGTTGTCAGGACTTGCTTGCGTCAAAACTGTGGTTTTTCGCACAGATCATGCGCAAAAAACAACCCGAGCACTCCGCTGAGGCAAGCATCATCGACAGTTCCCGCTTCTGGCATCGATACATGAGCGTTGTTGAGTTACCCACAGGCCCCAAAGTAGTTCCTTTTGCGGGGCTCATATATAGAATCCTATAAGGTAGTCCCAAAAAGGAACTACTATGGGGCCTTAGGGTTGGTATCGCTATGGGTCACTGGGCTTTCAACTTGCAAGGACTGCAAGCCTAACGGTGGATGATATAAGTCCTGCATTACCCTAAGGACCCTAAACTATGGGAATTATGGTATATTCCTTATTATGGGTAATGCAGGATTTATAGCATCAACCGAAGCATCCAGTACCTAAAAAGATGCAGCCAAACTAACATCTCGACCCACTAGCAACACTTGAAAGCAACACGATCCTCAACCCTAAACTCCCTAAACCCGGAACCTTAGAAACAGTGCCGAAACCCACGGCCTCTAGGTTGCCAATCGTGATCGTGTCATTGATGACATACCTGGGATGCGCACGGGGTTGATGTACCTGTTTGTTCGGTTCGTAGTTTATACCTTCACGGGAGCTTGGACATCTGGCGACATCTAAGGTTTGTTCTTTCGAAAGGGGCCTGGACAAATCGTACGAAGGGCTTGGTTCACAGTAACAGCCGCCGAACATCGAGGGGCCTTAATAATTACCTATACTATTTTGGGGGGTTTCCTTATTATAACCATAGTAGAATGGGCCCCAAACCATCTTCCAATTATTGAATCCTAAACCCGAGCCCCTAAACCCTGATCGCTCGACCGGCCCCGGTGCCTAAATGCGTTTCTTCCTTCCGCGAATCCTCGAGATCAGCTCCATCCAGCACCCTCGAAAGCCCCCGAAACCTCGATCTTCGGGGGTTCAGTCAAGTTTTTGTTTTCGCTCTCTCCGGCTCTCTCTCTCTCTCTCTATCTCTCTCTCTCTCTCTCTCTCTCTGTCTCTCTTTCTCATGCACAGGTAGAGATTGTCTACAGGTACATGTATAGAGGACATATACATATAGAGTATACATATACGTAAATATTAAACTGTGTGGGTATACATATATATATATATATCGTTTGTGTTTTAATGTAGTGGAACGTAAGCAAGAACCGAACGAAACAAGAGAGCAAAACATGAACGAAATCAGGAGCTAGACCGCTATCATTCTCTTTATTTGGTTCGTTGGCTTGGTAATGGAGTGAAAGAAGTGAAAGGAAGCACGCAAGCCAACGAAACAAACAAAGGGAATAGATGCGGTCGAAAAAGAGCCCAATTTCGTTCCCTCTGTGTTGCGCTTAAATGAAACAAACACGCTTCGTTTCACTGCATTGTTTTGTTCCATTTAAACTCAACACAGAACTCTCTTCATATTATTATAGGAGGATTTAGTAATATTAGATCCTGTGTGATTTCCTCTTATAATATATCATCTAGAAATACTAAGGAATTTATTATTTACCAAATCCTCTTGTAAAATCCTCAAAATCTGGATCCTAATTTCGTTCCCTATTTCGTTAGTGTTTCGTTTAATTATAATGGATTGAAGCGAAAGAAGAGAGCGGAAAGGAAGCATGAATTAAACGAAACACGACACGAAATATGAACGAAATCCCGAACCAAATCCCAATGGCTGTTTTCATTAATTAAAAGAAGTAAACACGCTTCACTCACTTCCCTCGTTCCATTGTTTTACTTCTTTATAATTAAATGAAACAGACTTGGGACGTGGAACTAGGATGTAGTGCTAAGATTCTATAACCTAGAACTGGTGTATCTTTCTACAACTAGAATCCTTGTTAAATTATAGGAGATCTCACATTATAGGATATTCTTTAGTCTTTTTAGGTCATCTTGGATCTTTAAGGATTTTTACCTTTAGGAATCTCATTTATTATATTAGGTCATATTAGGTTGTTGGGATTTACCTTTTGCCCATTGACCAAGAGCCCGCTACCCTTCGTTCCCTTCTTACACCGTTCCTCACATTCCTTTCCCCTCTGTGTTTAATTGTGGAGCGTGCGAAGTGGAAAGTGAGGAACGAACAGAGCGAGCGAAGTGAACGCACGTAATCAACACACAATCATATCTGGGTCCTTTGTTCGCTGCTTTTTCCTTTTGCTTCACTCATTTACAACGCAAAGAAGGGAAACGAATTGAGGCGTGAAATGAGTGAACGAAAGAGAAAAAGCGCAACAAAGGGCAAAAGACCTAAATTAAACACAAAGAGGCAAAAGGAGAAACACGCATTCTTTGTTTTCTCTTCTTTTTTTGCTTTCTTTGTTCTTTAATTTGGCCTTTTGGAATCACCCTCAGAATCCAGTACTAAATCCCAACTCTATTTCCAGGGTGTTCCGGTTCTTGTTTCGTATTAAAAGAGTGGAAACAAATGGAAGAGCGAAGTGAATGTAATGCGTGTTCCACTTCTTTTAAACGAAATAAGAACCCAACCGCCTTTCATTCCTCACTCCTGGTTGTAGGCTGATTACGTTCCTATTTCACTAAATGCAAAGGGATAAAAGAAAGAAAGGAAACAAAGAAACGAAGTGAATGCGTGTTCCTTTCGCTTTTATTCCGCTGCATTCCAGTGAAACGAGAACGGAACCATGAGACCGCTGTTGGACATTGTGCTTTTACCTCCAAGTCAAGGTCCTATGGTTAAGTGAGTAGTGAGTTGCGAATAAAGGGAAAAGAAACAATGAACGAACGTAAGAGAGAGAAGCGTGTTCTTTTGTCCTTTAACGCAACACACACATCACTTTATGACCTAGAATTTAGTATTAGAAGATCATTATAGTTTCTAGTTCTTTCCATTATTACTATATTCTCTTATAATTGGATCATACTAGAAATCCTTGATCATATTATAGGGAATTTCCATTAGTTCTAGAATCCTATGAAGAGAGCTCTGTTTTAATTCATTTAAACTAAACACAAAGTAGGGAAACGTATGCGTGGTTTTGTTTAAATGAAGCAAAAACAGAGTGAACGGAACAAAGACCTAGATTTTAGTATGTTTATTTCCTTAGTATTTCTAGTTGTATCTCCTAACCTAATATTACTAAGGAATTAATCATACCATCCTCTCCTCACAAGATACACCAGCATTCCAGTACACTCCCAACTACCATTCCGTTCCTTCTTTCGTTCTCTTTTCTTGCTTCGTTTGTAATGAATTGAGCGTAGTGAAAGGAAGCACGAAACGAAGCAAAGAAAGAGAAACGAAAAATGAACGGGAACTAGACCAGGCATTTCTTAGTGTTTCACCTGTTAACTTAGTACACATTCTTCTGTTACCTTGTGTTATCTGGAAACGAGAGTAGATTTTGGGTGGTTCTTGAGTTTCTTTCCCGTTGGCTCTTGTGTAATCTCTCCTTTCTCACTAACCTTCTTGTTCGCCAACTCCTGATTACGTTCCTGTTGTGTTGTAATTGAATGAAGAAAGCAAGACAAGGAAAGAACAGAGTGAGAGACGCGTGCTTCTTCTTCATTCAACACAACACGCCTGGTTCGGTCTCATGGTCGTAGGTTAATATGAAGAGAGTGATGTGTTGTAATTAAACAAAAGAAACAAGCGAAGGGAACGTAGCGCGTGTTCTTTTCGTTTAATTCGCAACACACACGAACGGAATCATGAAGAGAGCATTTCGTTTAATATTAAATGAAAGAAAACAAGCGTAATGTAATGTAGCGCGTGTTTCTTTTATTTAATTTGAACGAAATGTGAACGAAATCACGAGTTCCTGTCACGTAGAAAGACTCACGATGGTACGGTTTCTTATTAATTTAAACAAAGAAGACAAAGAAAGAGCGAAACAAGTGAGTGATGAATGCGTGCTTCTTTGCTTTAAATTAAACGAAACAAGAACCAGAGTGAGCCATTGGGATTTATAGTTGTGTCCTTTATCATTACATTCCTCCTTTATGCTTACAACTAAATCCCAATGATATCTTTCTACAACTGGGTTCGTACGTTCTGGTGTTGTGTTTAATTACAATAAACACGCGCGTCTCTTTGTTCGCTTGTTTTATTCAATTAAACACCCCACCATTCTCTTCTCACCTTACCCCCCACACCAAGGCATGGGAAGGAAGAATGTAGTGAAACAAATGAAGAGCGAAGTGATGAATGCGTGTTCATTTTCCCTTTATTTCCCCTTCATGCATATTTTAGGTCATGTATTTATAGGAGATTCTAGTACTAATATTATCCTTACCAATCTCTTCTATAATCTTCTAACCTAAATATATGAAGTGAGTCGTTTGTTTTCATTAAATTAAACGTAATGGAGCGTGAGTGAAGCACGGTTTAATTTAAATGAAACAAACAAGCGAACGAAATCACCACATTTTGCTTGGTTGTTTCATCTTATTATTTTAATTACCGTTTCCTCCTGTAGAAATCTTTACTACTTTTAGGTCATATTGTAAGGTTAGTTCTGTTACCCAAGGAATCACCTGTAGAATATGAAGTGAAGAGAGTAGTGAAACGAACGATGAACGAAGTGGAATGCATTTTTTATTAATTCAACACACTTCTCATGTAATCCTATGTTTGCGGTTATGTGGAGAGACTTGTGAATCTAGTGCGGGTTACGTGTTGTGTGTGAATTAAATGAAATAAAACAAGTGAAGAATGAAGCGCGTGTTTATTTCCATTTAATTTCATCACAACACCCTTCTTATTACTAGAAAATTAGGTCATTCTTGGAGTACAGGAATCTAGTTGTAGTTTTTTGTTTCTACCTCATGCCTTTCCTATTTCACCTATAGTTGGAGAAGAATCCTGTGGTGAAGGAAGCATGCGTTAATGAAGAAGAAACAATGAACGAGCGAATGAGAGAGAAGCGTGTTCTCTTCATTTTAACGCATGACTTCCTCACCTACACCTACGCCTGGGAATGATACCGCTAGTAAGATGAATGAAGAGAGGAATGTTGGGTTAATTGAGTGAAAAAAGATAAAGAATGCATGCTTTTTTCATTCAATTCACGCAACAGAGGAACGAAATCAGGATTTACAAGAGGATTTTAGTAGTATTTTTAATGGCTCTAACTCCAAATCCACAAGAACCGAAAGGGGCATGTGAATGTAAGCCCACTCAACCGTAGCCACTTGCTCCTCGGTGGCTGCAGCGGCCGAAGCGCCAGGCCTCCAACCTCTGCCACAAGCAAAATCAGCTGCCGCGCTGGAGCAATGACCGCTGAAACCATAAACGAGCATGGCCATGAGGCTGTCTGGAGCGCAACGCCAGAACCCATCCGCATCGCCTTCGACTTCCGTCGGAGCAGGCGCTGCGGCCCGTTTGCAGCGCTGACCCAGGTTCTTTATTTGGCGAGACAGCTCCCTCAGCTTCTCTTCGGGGCCAGGTGGAGGCATGGCTTCGAAAGGGTTTAAGGCAACTTCTCAAAACACATGGAAGGTAAGTTGACTTTACTACACACTCAAGCATGGGTTGCTCAGGACTGCTATGCCCGGAATCTTGGCTTGCTAGGCTGTGTTCCCAGGAAGTAACAGTCACCAGGCCAACTGAGACTATGGCTCGCGCTGCACGGCCACAGCAGATTCAGGCTCACACGTGGTTGCCCCCAATACATCAATCCACAGAGACACCGCCGTCTGCCGGGGAGGCCCCCCCAAGCCAGGCTGCTCCAGACAGGCCAAAGCAACACCGGAACCAATCACGCACAGTCTAGGAAAAGCAACGCCAGCCACAGAGCCTTCAACGCTCAGCGCCCGCTCCTGCATGCATGCACCGCACATCATGCGTTGCTGGATTTGCAAAACTCTGGTCGACCCAGCAGACACCACACGTCCAACGCAACTGTCTAGACCGAACGACGCATGAGACAGGACATGCGTTCTCACACTGGCACCTGCAGGCTCTCCTGCGCCACCGCGACCTGTCGGCAATTTGTGCGTGTCTGTGTGTGTGTGTGTGTGTGTGTGTGTGTCTGTGTGTGTGTGTGTGACAACAACGTTCCCACGCATTCCTGCCTGCGTTGTCAGCGAGAGGTTGACCGTTGGGGGCAGCAGCAGCAACGCCTCCCCGAAGTACACCCACAAGTCTACTATAATAGAAAGAGTCTGGACCAAACCTTCTCGCGCACGTAGCAGCAGCTGGAGGTCTTCGTTGCTTAAGTTCTTTGTGGCCTGGCTTGGCCAGCAAGCCAGAAACGCGAAATCACACGGCGTCGCTCTACGCGAGCCTGCAGGAGGCGCTTGCGTCGTGCCATCACAGGTTCCGATGCTCTTTCGACTGCTCGCGCAGCTCTGCTTTCAAGGCCTTGCGCGTCTCTTTCAGACGCAGAAGCTCTTGGTGCAGTACCTAACAAGCATAGCTTGGCTTTCCAACCAAGCATGATCAAACTACAGAAGCCTACCTGCTGGTCGCTCTGCTTCGGAGGCATTACCCAGCACCTTGTGTCATGCATCGGCTTTCTTCCACACCGCAGAAACTTGGTTTGCCCCGCGCCTTCAGGTCCCCACGCAACGAGGTCTGGCTACAGCTACAAAACAGCTGCAGAAACCCAGTTGGTAGAGAGCGTCCAGCCCTTCTGCGTTCATGGCATGTCTGTAATCCGGCACGCCCACACAAGCACACAGAATCCGCATGAACTGAACCTTTCTCCAGCCACCAGGCCTGTGCTCCAAAGCTACCGCTCCTCAGGACCTCGTCCGCAACGTGCGTCCAGCAACAGCGGTGCCTCGCACAAAGACACACCCAATGTGGTCCAGAAGGAAAGCAGACACAAACCTGGCCTCTGTACATAGAGAAGCCTCTGTACATAGAGAAGAACCCAGCATCAGCCTCCAACTGTTCCTGCGACACTCTGCAGCAGAACAACCTCGCTAAACTATATATATATATATATATATATTTGCAGATGCATAATTGTACACACACACACATATAGGGCATGTCGGATACAATCCCATGTCATGTCCCGGCTTCAGAAGAATCTTAACTAAAGCCGTAAGCCCGCCCTGCTCCTTCCAACACCAAACACTAACCGTAGTGCACCCTGAACCCTTCCAATCTTGAACCCACTACAGTAGAAGCCAGAAAGTTGGAACATCATTATCCTCATGCCCTTAAGTTAAAGTTTAAGGAATCCTAGCACTAATCCTCCTAAATCCATGTTCCAACTTTCTGGCTTCTGGTATACCTTTTCCAACCTGACACCGTCAAACCTGCAAAATTGACCCTAAGCCCTTCGGCCATAACCATAAACCCTGCTCCTTGAAGCAGCCTTACCATAAGCGGCCTGAACAGCTAAACTATGGTTCGGGCAGGTGCTTTCTAAAATGCACAGACATCAGGGATCCCGATAGTACTGTCAGGCCATTCTAAGAAGCCTACACCCTAAACCGTACCACAGATGATATCAGACGGCATCCTTTAGGCACATCTTCCTTAACCACTCCCACCCCCCTAAACCTTAAACCCTAAACCCTCAACCCATCATCCCCCGAAACTGAGGCCAGGGCCCACCAACATGGCCACCACCTCCGAAGACTTGCCGGCTTTCTTTCGGGCTTTAGAGGGATTAGGGTTTGAAGGATTACCTTAAACCCTGAATAGCCTACCTTTTCAGGGCTCCTTCCTTGGGTAGGTTATTCCGGGTTTGAAGGTTTAGGGATTGCCGTGGAATAGCGCGTAAGCGATGGTACCGACGAGCTGCGAAAGCCTGTCGGTCTTGCCCCCACCCCACGCCTTAGCATCACGTTCTTCTTCCTTTTCAGAAAGTGGGCAGGGCAGGGCAGGGAGGGCAGGGCTGGAATTTCTGTGGATGGGGTGTGGAGTTTAGGGCTGAGCGGGGTTCGTTCAGTTTAGATGCTAGCATGCTCTTGTGGTGCTTTTCTGCTTATGGTTCATAGGCGTCACTAAAGACTTCCCACTGGTTTGAGACATAGAAGTCTGAGACCCTAAACCCCATAATTAAGCCCCAAAGCCTGCCCAAGACCTTTGGGGAAGTTGCTTGTTAGCTGCTGGATCGGGCTGGGGGTCTCCGCTCGGCTGGTAGTCTTTGTTTTTGGCTGACGGTTAGGGGCTTAGGGGTTTGGGGCTTCGCGTTAGTTTTGGTACTAAGAGTCGGGGATGTGAGGGTCTCAGAGGGCTTATCTTGGGGCATAGCTCCTAAACCCTAAACCCTAAACCCCTAAACCCTAAACCCTAAACCCCTAAACCCCTAAACCCTAAACCCTAAGGTCCTACGGCTCAGGGCTTGGGTGGCTCTAACGACCCAGCTCTTTCGGGCTGTAGTGCAGGGATTCTGCCTTCAAACCGTTTACGGGTTTACAGGTCCTCCCCTGGCACCACCTGGAATAACCAATGTACCTCTAAAGAGGATACGGTTGATGATATAAATCCTGCATTACCTTAAGGACCCCAAACTATGTGAATTATGGTATATTGCCTATTATGGGTAATGCAGGATTTATATCATCAACCGTATGACCCTAAACCATGGGTGCATTTCTCTTTCTGAAGGTACCTTCGTTACTCTTCGGTAGCTGCGACGAGGGAGCGTCACAAGTCAGTGCCCCCAACCGTAATATCGAAGGGACCACCAGCCGGGTGCCATGAGGGCCTTGACTAAAAAAAGATTTGAGCAAAGTGTAGTAGAAGCATAAAACAAGGAACCTCAATATAGTATCGGCAACAGTTGAGACAAAACAACCCTGACAAACTGAAACAGACAACTACTCTAAGTACGCGCCTGTGCATCTGCGCACACTGACTGGCATAAAAGATTGCGCATGTGTAAGGCAGTGGAGGTGCGAGTGGATCAAATAACAATAACAAGTTTGACCCAAAGACATTAAACCCTAAACCCCAGCAGCCAAAGTAAACCTCAAGGCCCCTAAACATCAAGTACAAGGAAACCCTAAACCCTAAACCGAAGAAAATAGTATATAGTGTATTATATGATAGCAAATTAATGATTATTATATAGTATATAATATCGTGTTTTATTATATAGCGAGCTTCGTCTTCCCGCCCGGCCTTCGTTGACACCCACTGCACGCGGTGCCAAACCGAACCTGGGTCTGAGTTCTTGTCGCCGTTTAGCAGGTTTTAGGGTTCCTTTAAAGGGACCCTAGGGGTTCCTTTAGGGGAACTATAGGGTTTAGGATCTAGGCTTTATAGGGTTTTGGTTGACCTAAACCCCCAAAGGTCGGCAAAATAATGGCCCAAAACCTATAAAGGGCTATTATTCTACATACTTTTGGGGTCCAGCTAGGGTTTAGGAGGAAAAATAAGAAACCCTGAGCCAAGAGTCTCCAAAAGCATGCAGCAAACCTGAAGAAGCCCAGACCTGGAAAAGCTCTGAATGGAGCTCTTGAGTCTGCCTTCAACCCAAAATTACTGTACTAGATTACTAAATCCTAGACCCCTTAACAGCTCCCAATGAAAGGACCCTGAGTCTTTTCGAGAGCGAAACGTGAGACTTATGGTCTGGCGTTTATAGCGTCAAGACTGAGGACACAGGGTGGAGGGCTAGAATCCCGGGTTTAGGGTTTCGGGTTTTGGCAAAGAGAAGCATCGTTTTCTCTGGGCATCAAACTCCTATCCTCTCACAACAGTCATAACACCTTGGTTGATAGCAAATTCACCATAGATCAGCAGGCAGTTCACTCTGGCCTTATTTACTGCATGAGAGGCTATGCAAAGAAAGAAGAGTCGAGGCAGGCGAGGATACGGACTGAGAGCAAGAGTTGGAGAGAGAAAGAGGGAGGGAGAAAGAGAGAGAGAGGGAGAGAGAGAAAGAGAGAGAGAGAGAGAGAGAGAGAGAAAGAAAGAAAGAAAAAAAGAGAGAGAGAGCAAAGACCATCTCGAACACGTCGGGGCGGGCAGGTACAAAAAATACCTATACATCTGCAGTGCTATTACGAAATCAAAGATCCAGCAGCCTTAAAGGTGAAGCCCTGAGCATCCCCCAGGTACCCTTTAATGGAGCCCTTAGGGCCTTATTGGGTATAACAGAGGGTCATTGGGGAGTGCTGGTTAGGGTCAGTATCTAAAGCCCTAAGCAACCCTGGACACCGACTTTGTAGCTCAAAGTCCTGATGCCCACACCTTACTATCCTAAAGCATAAACCGCCCAAACGTCGTAGACCTTTTCGGGTTTAGCGCTTAGGGTTTTCAAAACATGAAGCCTGCCGTGTGTCTCGGGGGTAGGGCTTCGGATCCCCAAGCCCTGAACACTATATCGTTTCTGACCCTCAAGAAACATCGCTTGCGGCAGCTCCCGAGCATACGGGACTTAATCAGCCTTAACCATTGAGATTGGGTCGTGGCTGACACAATAAAGGAACCCCAAGACCCTCAGACACTAAACCCAAGGAATGGTATCAGTATTCATGGTCTTCTTGGCACCTACAGTAGAAGCCAGAAAGTTGGAATATCATTATCGTACCCCCTTTAAGGTAAATTATAGGGGATCCTACCATTAATCCATATTCCAACTTTCTGGAGTTCCCTTTATATGAAAAACTAAGCCATGTCTCAGCCCTAGGGTTTCGGCGGCGTAGGCACCAGGTGTGGGTGGAAGGTGCTGCCTGGGATTTGGGTCGTAGAATGAACCCCAGGAAGCTAGAACATGGGATAAGGATGATTTGTGATGGCACTTCCTATATACTGTCTCAACGCATGAGGATAACGATGTCCCAAATGACCGGTTTCTACGCACTGCTTGGGGCTTAGGAGCTCTATTTCTCCCAGGCTGTAGAATTGCTGGGCCTGGAGGTTTAGCTTCAAAACTTGAGGCCTAGGATTGATACTAAGTCTCAGGTCCTAAGGGCGTGGATGCCGACAACAATATACGTGTGGCGGCATGTCTTACATATACACAGGCACATACTCTGTGTGTGTGTGTGTAACGTATGCATGTCTGCTCAGTCATGTAGAAAGACAAACAAGCACAGAGCTATGTCAATGTCCACACCTCGTTCTTTGTCAGCATGCAATTTTGCTGAGTATTCTGCGAACGGATGCCCATCGTGGCTGCAAGCCCTTAACTCGCTCCTCAAGTAGGGCCTGTGTGTGGAGCATGCACGTGTGCCGTCCATATATATATATATATATATACATCTATATATATATATACATACATCTATATATTACAATATAGATATATATATATATATATATATATATATATATATATACATATATATATATATATATATATATATATATATATATAGCTTTATACACTTATTCATAGAACCTATACCTACACCTATACCCATACCTACGTGCATGCATACATGCTATTCTGTATGTTATACGTATGTACATCTTATATACACACTCACACTACACACACACACACACACTACACGTGCATGAACGGTGGCACATCGTTGCTCAATCGACCTGGCAGATTGATATGATTGTCGCTAAACCCTTCTCCCTAATCAGAAGTTTAATCCGGTTGCCACCGTTGCCACCTTCTCAGAAATCCTTAAGCCCAGCATTTTTCAGTCCCCGCAGACCATGCTTTCAAAGCCTGTAAGCCCTCGCTCTGCTAAGCGTCTGAGCTGTAGACATATCTCCAAGCTCGGCATGCCCTAGCCCACACGAGCGAGCGTACACTCTGCAAAAACTGCCTGAACAAAACCCACATGAGCCGTAAACAGAACGTATAAAGAACCTAGAAAGCATGCTTGCAAACACACTTGGCAAACCCATAAGCGCCGTGTATCGAACAACAGCTGTGGAAAATCATCCAAACTGCATGCTAAAGACCTGGTAACAATTACCCTAAACAACATAGGTACCCCAAGCCCTAACCCCGCCACCCCAAACAGCACCGGGCAGGACTTCCAAAGGGGTTGTCTCTGAGTTCAGGTGCATGATCCTTCTTAACGCCAGCTAAGCAACCCTGGACTCAAAAGAGACCCCAACTCATAAGCCCTTGAGAATCTTGGTGCGCCGGCTGTCGGTAGCGTGGTAGAAGCTCTCCTGTTCCTTCCACGGGTTTTGCCAAAGTTTTCATCTCAGGGCTAGACAATTTCGGGATCAAGCTAGGATTCCAAGGCTTACTTTAGGGCTTGGGCGCGCGGCGCCCCGAAAACCACTCCAAACAACGTGCGATTGCTTGCATTTGCATTCGTCTGAGCTCTCTATGCCGTGAAGACCCCAAGTCCTCCTGCTTGGGGCGTTGCCACTGGGAAGAACGTCTTGGTGAACATTTTGAAATAGAAAGACTAACAAACCCTGGGACCTTAGGATACCTTAGGAAGAGTATTCCTCATGCGTCTACAATGAGCGTACAGAGGGCCCCATTATAGAAGCCTATAGTACCGACTGGTACCCTACAAAGCGGCCCTATTATTAAACCCTTACCCAGACCCTCCGGAGGATCTAGAAAGCAGATCTCCTAATTTGGGGCCCTATACTGCTAAGGATACTTTATAGGAACACCTCGGCTCTGGAGCTACGGAGACGGTCACTGCATGAAAACTCCTCGGCACGCCATGGCACTGCAGGGCCACGGCCCCAGACCCCAAAGACCCAAATCTACTACAGCCTCCGACCCTACATGCAAAAAAGAAAAGCCCCAAATATCGACACGTGGAACACTAAAGCCCTCATTGAAAACACAACATTACAACCAGGAGCTCTCGTAGCTACGCTTGAAAAACAGAAACTGTGGTCCTTCTGGTCGGCCGCGCATTCCCTGCACCGGATGGAGGGGAGCCAAATGTCACTGCCCTCCGTGTCGAGGAGCAACCTTGCAAGGGTAGAAGGCGCAGGGTTTAAGTGGGGTGGGGCCGGGTTTAGGGTTTAGGGGGGCAGGGTTGTTTCATTCGTTCACCTGACGGCACCAGCCTTCATAGTGGGAAGGGGTTGGGCTGCAGCTGACAACACAATACACATCATATACATTGCATATATATATATATATATATATATATACACGACATATTATATACAATGTTATGCGGATGGCCGGAACAGAACCTACCCCGAAGAGTACCAACCTTGTCATTCGCAATACGTATGTTCTATACTTGCACACATCCCCAACGAGCAGTTGCATGTTACATCCAACATGAGTTGTAGCCTGCGCCGCTAAGACCCACGGCTTACCTTTTACTCAAGCCGATCCCGAAGCCTTAAGCCTAACTACATGGCTGCAGCACGGGCTGCTCCAAAGAGCACACAGGCCCGTAAAGCCCCATACTCTGATATCAAACCTTGTAACCTTCCTAAGTCGCATGAACCAACTCGTCAGACTTGCACCAGGCTCTCGCACGAGGCAGGCTGTGGCGGACTGCCAGCGCTTACCGGGGCGACCTTGTCCGGCGTTAGCATTGCCAGATATTTAGGCTTCTATACTACCTATAGTCTCCATTGTAGTTCTTTTTTAGGTTATCCAATTTTATGGTTAGGACCCTATAATAGAGATTTTGGTTAACCAAAAAAAGGAACTACAATGGAGACTATACGATGGACAGTGTCTTTAGCAGGTTAATTCCAAGCCATTTAAGGGATCCTAAAGGTGGCTTTGTCGCTTTAAAACCAAAGGGTCATCCTACAAAAAACTCTGAAATGTAGGATCTTGCCCAGACCCCTAAAACCAAATAAACCCTACACCCCACATCCAAACCCTAAAAGCTGAACCTCCCAACCCTAAACCACTAAATCATCCCAGACCCTAACAGTAGTGCTACTTATCAGATCTCTGCGAATGGCCCAAAACCCTACAGTAATTATGAAGGACCCCCCTTACTATCTTACTCAAAACGTTCGCCGAGCCCCTAAACCCTCAGGGCCTCCCTAAGCCGCTGGGGTACTCGGAAATCTCATACGGAGAACCCTGGTACATTCCATCAAAGGAACCTGCTCAGCCAGGACCCCAAGTGCCCTTTAAAGGGCTCTGATATTTCTCATTAAGACGTAATTTTGGGGCTACAATTAATAAAGGGTAGTTGGGCGGTCTAGGAGAACCCATAGCATGAGATGGAAGCCGAAACAGCTACGGTTGATGATATACCTAGACCCTCCATCTACCCTCTATTAGACCCTAAATGCCCCTTATTTGGGACTATATACGCCTATTTGAGGGTACAAGGAGGGTCGTGGTAAACCCTGCATTTCCCATAATAAGGAATATACCATAATCCCCATAGTCTAGGGTCCTTAAGGTAATGCAGGATCTACATCATCAGCACTAGTAGTGCTATTCCTTCGGGCTCCCGCATGTAATTGTAGCTCAATATACCCCCACACCCAATTCCAATGATTAGGCCCCCCCCCCTTAGAGCCCAAACCCAAAACCCCCTAAAATCCGTAAACCTCCTACAGCACCGAAATCCTACACCCTGACGATCTGTTATAGACCCGCTGGCAGGAACGTCATAAGCTCCCTGAGCCCTAAGGAGGTCCATATTGTAGCAACCTCGTATGGAACCCTAAATCACCATAAGGGGAACCCTAAACAATCTGCCATACTAAACTACTACAATATCCCTCATAGACTTAGACTCCTTATACCCGGTTCAAGCTTGTGGAACCTCCAAAAGAAATCGAACTTCTGATAAGACCACTGAAATCGCTGCTAAAACCCCTAAACTCCTAACACAACCCCTTAAATCGCAATAAACCCTAAACCCTAAACCCAACTCAGATTCCCCAAAGTCCCCTTAGCCCCTAAACCCTAAACCCTAAACCAAACTCAGATTCCCAAGGTCCCCTTAGCCCCTAAACCCTAAACCCTAAACTAAACCCAACTCAGATTCCCAAAGTCCCCTTAGCCCCTAAACCCTAAACCCTAAACCCAACTCAGATTCCCAAAGTCCCCTTAGCCCCTAAACCCTAAACCCTAAACCCAACTCAGATTCCCAAAGTCCCCTTAGCCCCTAAACCCTAAACCCTAAACCCAACTCAGATTCCCAAAGTCCCCTTAGCCCCTAAACCCTAAACCCAACTCAGATTCCCAAAGTCCCCTTAGCCCCTAAACCCTAAACCCAACTCAGATTCCCAAAGTCCCCTTAGCCCCTAAACCCTAAACCCTAAACCCAACTCAGATTCCCAAAGTCCCTTTCCTGTGGCCCCAAACCCTACAAAATAGCAGGTTATGACCCCTTAATTAGAGGGTAGAACCCTGAAAACGGTAGGTTTTGGGATCCCCAGGTTAGCATCAACACAGCACTTGGGCCGCCCAGCCATGGCAAAGTTTCTTGCGGCGAAGTTAGGAGGGACGATCTCGGCCTGAGCTTTGAAGCTTTTTTTTAAGGGTTTAGGGTTTAAAGTTTAGGGTTTAGGGAGCTTTGAAGTTTAGGGTTTGGGGTTTAAAGGGATTTAAGGATTTAGGGCTTGGGGTTTAGGATTTTAGGATATACAGGCTTTGGGGGTTTAGGGATTATAGGGACTTTAGCGGCTTTTGGGGTTTGGGGCTTAAGGGCTTGGATTTCTATAGGGTTTGGGGCTTATGGAGTTAAAAGGCTTCCCTTTAAGGGGGGCTATATGGGATCTACACGGTTCAGGGTTTAGGGCTTTTGTGGAATTGGGGGAGATAAGGAATTTCGGGATGTTGAGATTGAGATGGTTTTTGAGACTGTGATAGGGAGGTTCGTTCTTCGAACCTGTGGTCCCCGCCTCGGACCCGCTCGGATATTCTTGAAACGGCTCACGTTCAGGCACAAGCTCATATGAAGGACTGAGCCTGACATCTGATGAAGAGGCTGGTTCAGCTCCATCTTTTACCTCGATGACTTCCTTTGCACTCGAAGTATCATTGCCACGGCCAGAAGGGGCAAACGGGGGTCTTGCAGCCGACCCTCCTCCACCACCTCTCTTGTCACATCCGAGAGCCACTCCAGTATGACTCTTCCGTTGTATGCTTTGGCGGTCATGTAATGGCCGTGAACTTTCTTTATAATCAAGCTAACATTGAAGCACTTCTGAGAACACGGGATTCGGTTCCTCAATCTCCACTGCTTGAATCTTGTAAATGCCACGTCCAGTAGCTGCCGCGTATCCAGTGCAGCAGGATCACCGAAATAACCCAGTGATATCAGGGTCATCCCAGGCTACAGACGACGGGTATCTGAAATCCATCATTAGCGACAGTAGTAACAAAAGATATCCCTCACTATATATACATAGGGTTTGAGATATTTAGGGGTTTGGGATTGCTTGTGCAAGTGGCAAACATCCTCCGTCGTGCTGTTTCGGGGGTAAAACACTGGGGGTCTATGAGTTGAAGGTCTGCGGAGGCCCAGCATCAAGAGTTAGGTTTGGGGGGACCCAGGGTCTCTCAATAAGGTCCTGTTTAAGAGAGCCAGAATTAGGGTACAGAAGGGTTGAAGGGGTCTCCTTACCCATAGGCCCCGAAGTAGCTCCTTTTTGGGATTACCCTGAAGGATTCTATATATGAACACTAAAAAGGAACTACTTTGGGGCCTTAGGGTAATACTACCTAGGACACTGCTCTGGGGCGCATAAAGAAGTTCCGCATCGCCCCGGCCCAAGCACTCCCAGTACACACTCCCCCAAAAGGTTTCTGAAAGGGTTCCTTTAACTAGGATGTCCAGTAACCTAGGAATAAAAAGAGCCCCCTGTTTGGCGTTGGGTAATTTCATAAGGAACCTAGAACTACAAAAAGGGAATAAGGGTACTACTGGGCATCCCAGTCAAGGATTCTTTTGAGGGTTCATTTAGGCGTTCCTTGAAGCGAGGATTTAAGGTCCAGAGTTTAGGATTTGGGACTTCAGGTCTGGGGTTCAGGGTTTCCAACTGAACAAACGATAACGACTTCGAGGTCTAAAAACCCTAAACCGTAAAACCCCAAACCCTAAAGTCCATAGATAGTGCCTGCCTTTTGGGTTATCTGGAGCACCAGGACAGGGGTCCCCATGTCATGCGTATGATGTACTTTGGCCGTAAAGTCCTGCTTGTTCAGTGTCCAAGGGGGTTTAGGGTTTAGGGTTTGGGTTTAGGGTTTAGGGCTGTCTTAATAAGGGAACGTAAGGTTGACCTTTGGGATGATTAGGGGTCATAACAAGTAGCCCAAAAAAATTAAAGGTTAACTACTCTACTAATGAACTCGTCCCTTGATAAGTACTTGGGGCCCAGAGTATCTGTAGTAGCACATGGACCCTTGGGGACAGGCAGCCGGCTTTAAGCACCGAGCATTTTTCATATTGCCGATGCTTTCCGGATTGTAACCTCCGGAGAAAGCAGCTTGACAGAATCTGAAAGCTCTAACACAGGAGCCTAAGTCATTAGAACCATTAGAATAGGTCGTTGGTATGTCTTCTACCAGAACTATAAAATCCAAGACGGAACCCTGAGGCAACTCATCATATCACGGCGAAGCCGAAGATCTCGCTGCTCCCAAACCCGGATCTTGCTCAACTGCTTCAAGCTCATTGCTTACCCGGACCCTCTGAATGAACAAGGAACTCGAAGCGATATCCTATATAGTATCGCTGTGGCCTGAGACATATCTTAACCCAAAATGTGGAACTCTACAGATCTTGGAGAGTATAAAGCCACTCCTTGGGGTAGACAACTATCTGTTGCATTCTTTACGGCGTCCTGGTTGCACCTTAGGGTGTCTAGGTTTGGGTGGCTGGGGCTCTAATTATAGACTTACTGCTCTTTGCAGGGATCCTTTAAGGATTCCTTGCAGGCTTGCTCAAGGGTGTTATTCTAGGTTTCCGAGCCGCCCCAAGAGTCTACCGCATTCCTCGTTTAGGCACTTTCAAGCACTTCTGAAGCAGCCCGCACGGTGCCGCCTAGGCCTCTGAACCCTGAAGGGTTTGGGGGTTTAGGGCAGAGGGCTGAAGCATTTACCCTTTTAGTGTCAGGATGTAGGTCTTAAAGGGGTTTGAAGGACACAGCTCCCATTCGATGGCCTTGGCGCTTTGGGTTTTGAGGTAATTCGAGGGTCTGGACAGCACGCCCCGAAAGAAAAAAGCAACAAACAGTAAACATAACATCAGATAGCATACACATAAACGACAAAGAACCCATGTGAACAAGACATATGCATATACCCATATGTGCAGATAGGTACACATGTATGCATGTCTGTGTCCTGAGAAGTTACGCCAATGGGCCAACGTCAAATCTAGAGCTTGCGGTATGACGGTTCCAGGTCTAGGCATCTGGGCGACATAAACCCACATCAGCCAGAAGCACGCCGCGATCTCAAATCCTCAAACACTCAATCCAAAAGTCGACACCCTTGTGATCTAACCCCAAACTCGCAGGCTCCAATATCTGAAGAATGAAGACCCCTTAAAGGGAACCTGAGGGTATAAGGATGTTTAGGGACGTTGGGATTCGAGTTTAATGTAGGGTCCTTAATCGTTAGAATAGAGGTTTGGGCTCCTTTACAGCATTATGTATAGTAAGAAGCCCTACGGAGCAATGTTTGAAATTATTTAGGCCTCTATATTACCTAACCCAAGAATCCTAACCCTAAACCCTGAACCCTAAACTGCAAACTTCACTCATCGGGCCCCACCGCCAGGCGGCCATAGAGTGCGTGCAGTTACAGGGACCTTAGCATATGGTTTTTCACAGCAGGTGGTTTAGGGGTGCGGTGTAGGGTTTAAGGTGATAGGTCTTCAGAGATGGTGAGTGCGCTTGATTTGTTCCTGTGGCTATGTTTTCCCTTCAGCTCCAAACCCGATGCCTAAACCATGAACCCTAAACCGTATGCGTTTCATCCGAAGTTGCTTCATTTATCTCAGGTCTTGGGCAGTGGGCTCTTTGGTTTCTTTGAGGTCGCAGAGTCTTGTGGCGGTGAGGTGCTGGAGTTCATCGCTGAACCCGTTCAATAAAGTTTGGGGTTTAGAGTTTAAGTTTAGAGATCCAAGAACCCGATCTTAGGCTTCCGGGTTTCGAAAGCCCCGCTGTCATCATGGCTGGGGCGGTTATGGTTTCGTGGAGGGTGTGGGACTTGCATCAAAGGCCCCCGATGACGTGATTGTACCCTCAGCAGCACAAGCCTCCTGATACTAAACCCTAAACCTTCAGCATCCTTACCCTAAGACCCTCAATACTAAACCCTTAACCGGTAAACCCTCCGTAGTCTGGGATGCAAGCCCACTCCTCTTCCTCCGTGCTCTCCAAGCCCATCTGGCACCAGAGGGTCTGAAGGGGCTTCATAGGGTTATTATATGGGAGTTTCCGAGAATAGGGGACCCTAATATGGTACCCTAAATAGTAGGATCCTTGTTATAAGGATCCCAAAATAAGGTACCCCAATTTTCCGAAACCCCCCATATGGATTTCTAGGTGTTTAAGGTTTGTCAAATGTAGGATTTAACGAAATAAGATTTACAGGGTCGTCTATAAGCATGTTGAAGTGATAGCCTTATGACTAGTTTATGGGAAAATGCGAAGCATCTCGGACCTCGAGGGATTGATATAGATCAGGATTACCGGCTGAATGTCGGTCGGTCACAAATGTGGTATATAAAATTCCAGAAGGCTCCATGTACTCTCTTTCGCATAGACTGCATAAAATATACTTTGGCCTTAAGTACCTGCACAGGAACCCCGTTCAGGCCCAAGTATATGACACCGGGTCCTGGTTCACGTGTTTTCAACCAGTGGCACTATCCTTTATAAATTGAATGTCCTCGCGGATCCTACTAGTGTCTACATCACTGGCGTCCTTAGCAAACCCGACACCATCCATGACACATCTCCACCTCCACCTTCGCCTCTACTGTCCGTGTTCCCGGGCTCAGAGCTGGAAGCTTCGGGTCTACTTTCCCTTCGGCACAGCTTGGACACTGCTCATGCATTTGTCAGAGGAATGTTCCGACAGCGTGCGAAACAGCACAACGCAAAACCCTAAACCCAGAAGCCACAACCCTACCTCTCAGATCCACGAGCAAACTCCTCAACCAAACACCAAGAGCAAACGCGAAGCATCGGCGTGATGTACATCTCCAGGCAACTCGGCGATTGCGTCTGGTATATCTTGCTCTTGATTGCCACTCTTCAATGACCGATGCCGTGAACCACAAGTCTACACAAAGAAGACGGCAAGTTCAGGTTTTTAGGACTTGAACTTGGGGCTCTCGGATTAGGTTTGCCAGTCGCAAATGGCACTTCATTTCACTCCTGTCAGAAGCACATGTCTGAGTTGCCAGGCAGTCTTTTGCACAAGACCAAGATGCGGACTCCGCTGATGGTAACCCAATCCGCCAAGGAAGCAGACCTTTTCGTGGTTTAGGGTTCGGGGATTCGGCCCATTTAGACTCCAAGTATACAAATAACACAATACCGTGGGTCTGAAGTCGACACGTAATACCTACCTGGAGCTATTTCGAGTGTTAGGGATTCAGGGCTCCAGTTCCTGCATACACCCACCAGGCTCTTAGTCCACGGCACTCAACTAAACTTACTTTTGCTCAAGTTTGATTGGTCATCTCTGTAAGTAGTCCTTGTGTGCCTTCCTCCAGCCTTCCTTGGAGCCAACCTGCCCCGAACCCTACCAAAGTAGCTAGCCAAAGTGCTGAAGCTAAAGCTTAGGGTCATTTCCAATTGTCTTTTTAAAGGGTATATCGATTACTCGAGGTAGATCCTGAGTTTGAAGAGTATAATATGTCGATTGCATCCCGGCAGCCTGCTCATACCATGCCAGCGTTCACAAGAGCATCTTACTTTTTGTCAGGGTGACTGTGTTACGGTTGATGATATAAATCCTGCATTACCCATAATAAGGATATGCCGTAATTCCCATAGTCTAGGGTCCTTAAGGTAATGCAGGATTTATATCATCAACCGTATCTTCCTGACCCAGGAACGGACATGTTCGTTCAGGAACGGCTTCGGAGCTCAACCCCCCAGACCGTAAACTCATGAAGCCTTACAAAAGCCTAGTTCAATCCTGGGGATCCAAAAACCTACGGTCTTAAGGGTTCTTCTACCCTCTGATTGAGGGGTCATAACCTACTATTTTGTAGGGTTTGGGGCCACAAGATAGAATCTAATGCCCCAAACCGTAAGTGCCCTGCGGGAGCCAACTCCAAGCAACTGCGGCGATGGCGCGCCCCATTGCCACGGCTAGAGGAAGGACACTGCAAAAGAAAGGCTGAAGCTCCCCGAGAAGAGCTCTGAGAGTCCCTAAACCCTAAACCCTGCATCCTAAACCTAGGACCTCGCAAGCTGAATGGCAGAGACGCTCTCTTCGCTTCCGCTGTCCACATGACATGCTTGCCTCTGAGGTACTATCATCCAAGTGACAACTCTTCCTGTAACTTGGGTTATGTCTTGCTATTGCTCTTCCTAGATTACGAGAAGTACTACTATCTACAGGTACCAACCTCACTCCCGTGTTCAATGGCCCACTTTTGAACATCCAGCTGTTCTGCACAGATGGGCACAAAGACTAGGGTTTGGGACTGAAGGTAAGCGCCCAGACCCTCAAATCCTAAGAACCAAGGGTGCGTGATGGCTTGGGGGACCCCAATCAGGGAGGAAGCCAGGTGACAGTTGGCGATGTAATTACCTGGAGGTACCCCAACGAAAACAGGAATCATCCGCTCTTATGGATCCAATGGCCTACTACTCGGAAGGGTTATAACACTCGACCGCAACATGTGCCTACGGCACCCCGAACCCTCCACCCCGTGCACACAACACGAATCATTCCTGGCCCATGGCAGACCAAACCCATCAGGACTCAGAGTCAATATGCCCAAGGAAAGAAGGGGCCGCGCCGCTGGCAAAAAAGCAAGCCCAGGACATTGGGGAACCAAACATCCCACATCGGCATAAAGGGTTTCACGGAAAGCCTTCATGGGCATATATGTGTGTCGTGCCAGATTTGTTTCTAACACCTACTCTCATGGCTACTCACGGCTACTCTAACGGGTGGGTGCTGAATATCAGCCACCTCAGATTCAGACAACAGCCTAAGGGTAGCCCCTCCTTTGCTGCTTCAGCTAATCACACATGATGTGTAAAACACCAAACCTGTGGCTCCAAACCCTATGTACAAAAAACAGGTAACTAACGGCCCCACAACTTCCGGGTAGTTATAGCCTCACGCATCGTCAGTGAGTGAATCCACAGGTAATAATAATACTCATGGCCTTGCAGCAGCCCTTGCATCAGTAGTGCCTTGATTTAAATTGTAAACCCTTGAGTGAATACATCCAGCCTGTAAGCGAACCCCACAGCTCATCCCAGAAACCTTAAAACCTAGATGCCGATACCCGAAAACCCCAAGCCTCAACCCCTCTCTTAGCATCACACTTATAATGAAGCTTTCCGACAAAGAAGGCCCCATGAACCCATATGACATTGCCCGAAACCCCTCGTTTCTCGTGGGCAGAGCCGATATTCGGACAAGTCCATCAAACTGGCCCCCATCATCCGCGCGACGTTCTTGCAAAGCTGGCTAGGATTTGGGGTTTAGGTTGGGATGTCGCTTTTCCGGCCCAAGGAGAAATTCGTAAATTTTCCGCCGTCAGCCTAACCCTAAGCCCTAAACCCCTTAACCGTAGCATCCTTTGATTGTCCGGACTCTCCCAATTGCCTTTGAAGAGCCTCGCGTGGGCGCGAGGGCCTCTACTCCAAGCCAAAGACCCAAACAAACACAGTAAGCTTGATCTTTGGCCCATACACCCGAATAGCTACCTCGACCTGTTGAAACGAAGGAGGGCATTGTGACATATGACTGCTGTAGAACATTGGCAGAACAAAACGAGACGCCTAATCGAATGTGGCTGTGCTGGCGCGATGCTTGGCATCGCACTCCGCCCCGAGCCATTTGTACAGCAGAGACGAAGATCTGAGTGGAGCAGCAAAGCGAAGTCCTAAATTGGATTTACGAAAAGCAGCTTCGGTAGCTGAGTGCAAAGGGTACAGAGCGAAATAAGTCCTGAGAGTTCCACGATCGATGAACTTGGAGGTACTTCCAGTTGCACTAGGCAGGACTGCGACCGGGTTACAGGTGAGCAGCGGTACGAAGGACTGAAACGAGGGCCCTGGGCCTCCCTCCAAGATGGATGCACAACGTGACTTGCGGTAAAGGCCTTACCTGAACCCCTGATGCCTACCCTTTTAAAGGACTTCTACTAGGAGATAACAATAAGGAACCCTAAACAGGTAGGTGTTGACAGAGCTAAGCAACCGCTCCTCAATTCAACTCCCGACGCTGGAGCGGTGAGAAAACACAAAGACACAAGGAGAGAGAGGGTTAGTTGAGGGTTAGGAGATGAGAGATACAAAGAGCTGAATCCACCCATCTGTTGCAGGAAGGGTTAGACTTCTTTAAGTTTGTATTTCAGCAGGAACCTGATGAAGACACCTCGGGTCTTTATTAGGGCTCTGTATATATCATAGGGATCCTACTTTTTTTGGGGGTATAGGCCCAGGGTTTCTTAATCAGGTTCCTACATTATCGTAAAAGCGACCCCAAGGCAACTATTTCGGTCCGTCCCGGACATCAAGCGAAAGCAATCAGGAGTCAGATCCCCGTCTCTGATAAGTAAAGTTTGTCGGCACAGCCTTGCCTACGTTTAAGGCGAGTCTTCGGCTGTCCATTGCGTTTGCGGGTTTCGATAAGGTTCATAGGGTTGGGGTTCGGTGTGGGGCTCAGGCTTTATATACTGCTTTTGGGATTGAGGTTCGGAAAGGCACTATACCTTACAAAGCTTTTGCCAGAACTGAAAGCCTTGAAGCCCCATTCTTCAACAGCACAAGTATCACCTGAATAGATACTTGAAAGCTTTAACTTTGGGGGCAGAATGTCTACTATTCACAGTAGGCCCCAATCCCCCAACCCCAGGCACTTCTTATCTGGAGATTCTTGACCTCAAGCCTTAGACGTCCTTTGAGGGGAACCCTGATATGATCCAGCAACATGTTACTTTGAGGCCTCACCCTTGAGTCATGGTGCAAAAAAAGTCACGAGGTTTCTATACGCTTATCAAGACCTTGCACAAATGGAGTGACTGGTATCCGAATCCTAAATCTCACTGGTTAGCCGTCGGACACGCCCAGATGCGCTCAGCCACCGTCTCCTGCAGCATCTTCCTCGACCAGGCGGCACATTGGACTTCCCTTGCCCCATACCCTAACCTGTCCTGAACCTTGTTCCCGGCCCAGATAGTAGATGTAGACCCTAAACAGTATCGGTCTCAATAACTGCACAGTTGCGGAAATTCCACAATCCGAAAGCCACTTCCCATGTACATCCCATCGCCGCGAAATCCCTCAATACTTTCAACACGTAACGTGCCCAGCACGCTATAATAACTTGTCTCAACACAATGGAGGCGACGGAAAACTTCATGTGCGTGCCTGTAAACCGCAGCCTGAACGCAGGAATCGTTCATCGCTGAAGTAGGAGTACCCGCTTGAGGTCCCTATATCGCAGCCCGAACGCCGGTCCTATGAACCCATGAAAACCGACCGATTCTTCGAAATCCAGGAAGTCTCGTAGGTGGGACTTGAGGGCATTGGGTCAAGAGTTCCAACCTGCCCCTGCATTTCAGACAGCAAGATCCTGAAGGCCAAGAGAAAGATTTACACCGATACACACACATGACATTTTTGCGGCACAGAACCAAGCATGATCGCCGTATTATTCACCCATTTCGGTGACTCCTGGTATCATCGTGAGGACCACCCTCACCCACATCCTTTCATTCCGACACATAACCGTAACAACGACTATCCTGGGCACAGTCACAAATAATGTCCGAAATAATGCCGCTGTAGGGCCCCTCAAGCGAACTTCGCGCCTAGACTCCTATAATCCGGTTCCCATAGAGTGTGCTACATCCAAAACACCTATCGCGCAACAATCAAAAGCCGCTGATTGAGTCTGGCACCCTTTGACGAGAAAACTTGAACACCCTTACACGCACACGCGAGAAAGCCCTATCATACTTTCTCCCAAACCTAGCGAAACCTATTATAAACGCGCCCCTAACCCAGTGAAGCGCAAAACCAGAAACCTAAGCTTGCCGCAGAAGAAGAAAGTGAGTCCTTACAGGGAACACCTATAGAACCCGTATAGTAACCCTTAGGTTTATAGGGTTTAGGGGCTTACAGCAACCGTGTTAGTAACCCCTATGTGCACACCCCACTTGAAGCACCTTTAAAACACCCATCGTGCCATAACCCGTAGAGCACGCTTGTAACAAGCCCTGGTGGTCACTTGTAGCATGGTGGACCCCTAAAAGGAATCCTAGAGCCCAAAGGGTCCATATACACTACCATTATGGAATTAGGTCCCAGAAGACCATCCTCATTATGGCTTTGGGGACCTAATTCCACAATAGTAGCGTATATGGACCCTCTGGGGAGCAACCTCAGACCAAACCCTGAGAGGAACCCTGATGGCAGCCTGTAGAGTTGGCATCTTCGCAGCCCTCAGTCAATGGAATTTTCAGGGCTCGAAATGCTCAGTGCTTCGGGTTTAGGGCTTGAAAGGAATATGTCTTTGGCTTTGTGGATTAAGGTTAAGTTTAGGGTATACTGGCCGTAGTGCAGGGTCAGTGTCGTATACGGGCCGTAGCAGTTAGAATCGGGTTTCTGGGTAGATTGCTGCATAAACAAACCAAGGAACCCCAAGCAATTAGAACCGGGTTTTAGGGTAGAATGCACCGCGAACAGAATAAGGAACCCCAAGTACTAATCAGCACTATTCCGAGTCTCATTAATACATGGTATTACCTATACACCCAGCTTAGCCTAGATACACTCTTAAAAAACGCAAAGGCTCTGTACTCACTGTAGTCTTGAGTGTCGGGCTTCGGTCGACTATTGTCACCACTCCGGATGCTGGCTGGTCTAAGTGTTCGGAGCAGGGCTCAGACATTCAGAGTCTGCCCAGACCCCCGGGAGGATCGGGGCCCTGTACTACTAAGGGTACTTTATAGGAGCCCGCATTAAGGGATCTACTTTTTGGATCCTCCCGGTATTCTGGGTTGGTCGAAAATACGGTCTCGAGGTCTTGGAATTAAGATCACGCTGTGCCTTTCTTGCTTCGCGAGGTCTGAAGCTTCTCTTTGGGTCATAACGCTGCTGCAGCGCATACAG